TTTCAGTGGTTCTAAATATTCCTTACATTGTTCTTCAGAGGTATATAATTATTCAATACAGTGTAGTTCATGGTTCTCATTCTTTACTGCGTAATTTAAAGAGTCTAAGGGGTCGGTGTGGACGAGTCGGTAAAGCTCATGGTTGCTAAACCAAAAAGTCTCGAGTTTAAACCCTCGGGCAGATGAGGCTCGTTAGCTGGGGACAGCCACTCTTCTAGGAGAGACAACTCCAAAATCAAACAACTGCTGCCTTGTAGTTTGTTCTTGGTTGGACAAAGGCTATGAAAGCAAATCCAAAAAGAAAAGCAGGCTAAAATCGGAGTCAATGGCCTCTTGACACATAATCCTTAATTGTGATGGTCGAGTCGGCAAAGCTCATGGTTGATAAATACGAAAAAAAAAAAAAGTTCAAACCCTCTGGCAGATAAGGCTCGATCCCTCCCAACACTAAAAAATTAAGAACGAAGAAGAAAGGTTCTAAGAATTTGAAATAGGGTACATCAGGGTTTCTAACTATTCCTTACATTGATCTTCAGAGGTTCTAAATATTCCTTTCAGTGTACTTTAGTGGTTCTAAAAATAACTTATAGTGTACTTCAGTAGTTCTAAATATTTCTAACGGGGTACATCAGGTTGTCTCAATATTTCTTACAGTCTATTGTAGCACTACTCGTGTAAACAGATTTTTTAAAATAGATGTGCCCGTTTTATCCTGGCTTCAAATTTGTGATGTCACTTCCTGTTTGAAAACACCAGGTAAATAACAAGTGAGACAGTGTGTGCGGTGGAGGGTGGGGGGGGAGGGGGTAGGGGGAGCGGATGCCAGGAATTCCGTGAGGTAGGTCGCAGTCATCAAACAGACGTTAACATAGACAAGTTAAGACAATCTTATATGTCTTTTTTAACACAAACATACATATATATATATGCATATATATGCATGTATATATATATATATATATATATATATATATATATATATATATATATATATATATATATATATATATATATATATATATATATATATATATATATCAGACTACCAAATGTCATTCTAAAATGTAAGTTTCCAATCTCCAACTTTAAAACTCCCACGTCAATATTTTTTTTAACTTTTTCCCCTTGCCAGCCATTGTAATAGCCTCTAGAAAGTGAGAAGTTTTAATCATTTTTATTTCTCATCAGTTATTTATACCGCCCTAGGACGTGGTTTAAAAAAATAGTATCACAATTCGCTGGCCTTGAACCTTCGGGAAAACTGCCTTAAGCCACCAATAGAAATATTGGGAAAATAAAGTTCACATTTTGTAATGGATTAGAATGTCACCACCTTTATATTTGTTCGTTTTTTGGAGCTAAGGACATCAACATAATTACAACTTTTAAAAATGTATAATTATAAAAATGTATAATTATAACGGTTTAACCTTTTTATTTGCATGTTTCTGGAGCTAAGGACATACAAATAGATACCACTTTTTAAAAATTTCTAATCAGAATGTTTTCTAATTAGAATGGTTTCTAATTAGAATGGTTTCAACATTATATTTGCACTTTCCGGAGCTAAGCATATCATCACACTTAGACCATAACGAACACATGCATGCGACCTTCTAATAGAGTTGCTTGCTGAAGACCTACTGATGGAGTTGCTTGCTGAAGACCTACTAATTAAGTTGCTTGCTGAAGACCTACTAATCGAGTTGCTTGCTGAAGACCTACTAATCGAGTTGCTTGCTGAAGACCTACTAATCGAGTTGCTTGCTGAAGACCTACTAATCGAGTAGCTTGTTGAAGACCTCTAATGGAGTTGCTTGCTGAAGACCTACTAATCGAGTTGCTTGCTGAAGACCTACTAATCGAGTTGCTTGTTGAAGACCTCTAATGGAGTTGCTTGCTGAAGACCTTCTAATCGAGTTGCTTGCTGAAGACCTACTAGTCGATGAGCTTACTTACCGTTTGTATCCCTACGTTCGTATCCCTACGTTCGTATCCCTATGTTCGTATCAAACGATCTCCTTTCCTTCTTCGTCTTTAATTCTAGTTTTCGAAGAGATTCCCGCCAACACAACGTTTCAACTTGATACGCGCATATAAACCGTTGGCTCAGATTTCAGCCTGTTTTTCTTTTTGGGTTAGCTTCCATAGCCTTTGTCCTTAGTTTTCTCGCCTAGGTGGGTTGAAGCCCCCAGCTATCAAGCTTAATCCGCCCGCGGGTTCGAACTCGGGACTTTTCTGTTCAGCAACCATGAGCTTAACCGACCCTAGCACGCCGAGCTCCTCAAACAATCTGAACTTCTCTCTTCATCAACTCACAAATAACCACGTATGAAGATTGGACGTATAACCTACTATAGTATGATAAATATGGAATATTAACTCACATTGACGGTTCAAAACAACTGTCCATTTGCCAAGATAGCATGTGTTGTGTTGACAAAGATCAGCCAGTATTAAACTCTCAAATTGAGAACATCCATGGTCTTTTCAGTGTGTTATTTAAAGTGCTTGTTTAAAGAAACTTTTATAACACATTTGTCTCAAAAGTCAAATTTAACCAGGGGTATTACCTTTAAACACCACAAAGAGCATTAATTAACTTTAATTAAAGAACATTTTTTAAACTTTTACCCAAAGAGTTAATTAACGCTGATAACGTTGAATATTTAATTACGGAGATCTCAAGACGCACAAGTGCTTTCAAATATTTTCTACAACAAATCCTCCTACGTGCAAAAACTAATCGATACTCTTGCCGCAATAACAGGGCAGTTTTGAAATGATCAAATATTCTTTATTGATTTATATCGAATTTTTTTTTTGGAGGACATTCATGCAGTAAATACATTCGATACAATCAAATATTACTTAATTATCTAGCCTAATTATGTTTCTGATGACTTCACGCTTTAGTTATAGTGGGGGGGGGGGGGGGGTGGATCTTAGGTGGCTCACAATATTGCCCAGAAAAATTGGAAATTCTACACCCCTCCAGTTCACTATTATAGAAAAAAAGTTACATGAAAAAAAGTCGTAGGAAAAAAGTCACAAATGTGTATTTGCATGAGATTTGTGAATACTTTTCTGTTTTCAGAAACTTCAAATCAACATACGATTTATTATATGTAATGAAACTTTAATATATATGTGCGTAGGTTGAATTTGTATGGTAGCACATTTGTATATTTTGTCCGTACCCCCCCCCCCCCCCCGATTTCCGCGTGGACGTCCACAGAATTCGCAGTTTACCTTTTCTTGGCATATGATTTACCTGGTCAGGTAAAGAACATAACGGCAAGAGGTGTGGGCAGTTGATCTTACACAAGATTACACTTACATTTATCCTTGCTCCATGGGTCTGATATCACTGGATGTCCTTAAATTATACTTCGGCTCAGGATTTCTAAAAGTTACTGATAATCCCAGTAACAATGCCTTCCAATATAGGACTATTGATAGAATGTGTAGTCTGCAATGCCAAGCATGTCCATACTTTTTTTTCTATGAGCTGTTTGTTATTAAATATTAAAAGGAGAATCTTGAGAGTGCTGAATATAATAAATGTCATGTTTTAGTCGTACAACTACAGGATGATTTTATGTTTGGCGATTTTGTCCTATTTATAAAAAAAAACGAATGCAGGTCACTCAACCGGTTTATTTTTTCATGGAATTTTTTAAAAAAATTTTTTATTGTAGTCTTAAAAAGGATATCAAGTTCATGACCTTAATTATGTTTTCATTCATCACTTACCGTAGAAGTGCGAACTTTGTATCAATACTGTGATTTCAATACCGGCTGAGCGTAGTGACCCACCACAGAATAGAATCCTTGCTGTTTAGATGTATACATTTTTCATGCAGGTTCAAAGTCTCGTGTAGCATTTCAGTATTTTCATGCTAAATTTAACGTGTCCACATGACCTTGACCCCCCCCCCCCTACCCAGTTCTGACGAGTCCACAAAAGTCGATTGTTTCCCACGCCCCCTCCTCCCCTCCCCGTGGACATTACATATGTACGCCCCCAGCTTCAGTACAACTAAAATTTGTAATCGGAAACAATTTTGCTGAAAGAAACCATTAGTTATTTGATACAACGTAAATGTTCGTCCGTGTCTTGCATTTATAGTATTATTGTGTTTTACATTGATTAATTAGTGTAGGGTGGTTAAGTAGTATTTTATATTGATTAATGACAGTTCTCCTCACTCTGACTGTTCTAGTGTTAAACTATCGTCTAGTGTTACCACGGTAAACAAACGCATGCAATGAGAGATTAAACTAACGTCTGCCCATGGCCAGAGGTTTGGCTTACTTCCCCTCTTCTATGCCGCTTACACGCATGCTCGGCGCATTTTTGATGAGTTTTTTTGCATATTTAATTACATTACGTATTCAACCAACTCATTCAAAAGACCTCATCTATCTGCTACATATTGATTTTCTTAAATTAAATCGATCAAGCGATACATTTTATCCGCAAGACATTGATTTGTAAGAAATCAAATTAAAATAAATTTTCGATTTTGTTAACACATAGATTATCCTTAAAATGAAAGTTGATCAATTATGGAAATTTTAAAACACGCTTCCATTTAAAATAAATACGTTTAGTTTAAAAATAAAACGCGATGTTTTGAAAGAACAGCTGATTGTGTGATGAGTTGAGACATCGATATATGTTAAGTTGTGCTTATGTATTTTAAATATCACAGTTTTAACTGTTATATAAGCGAAGGAATAGAAGATTAACGAATGATTGAATGAATGATTGATTGATTGATTGATTGATTGCTAAGTCCGTGCCCAGGCAAGGACTACCCCCACACTGTCATGCCCGGCTCCCTACTGTCACCCCCACACTCCCTACTGTCACCCCCACACTCCCTACTGTCACCCCCACACTGGTGATGTAACCGATGCGAGACTCGGCGCGCGCGCTTATGCCACGCGCGCGAGAGTGAGCGAGAGTTGCGGGTCCCCTGTCGATGGCCGGGTACTGGGGGAATAGGAAGTGATTGCCGTCTCGTGCACGTGAAGCCGGCACTCACGGTTCGGCCTCTGTGTTCTCACCACCGTTTGTAAACAGTGACACAAATCTAAGGATACCATCGACTCGCGATCTGCGAAGGTCGTCAGGGGTCAAGCAGTGACCTCGACGGAAACATTTCTCCTGTTGGACTTCACGGATTAACTCCACGTGGAGGGATTATCAAGGTTCGTTATTCAGACTAGTGCACATTATCTAACGGGTTTACGGTCGTCACGTGATATTTTACTAATTAACGAGTACTCATCACATCAAATGTAGTAACGCCATAATTCATTAACTGGCTAATTTCAATCTTCAATAAAGGACAAATATACCAGGACATATTTATTTAAAAGTGAGTACAATTTTTTGTCATTTTTTATGTGATCGTTGGCGAATATTAAAGGGAAAAATTACAGTAATATGTTCGATGACAACTAACCAAATAGTATTTGTATTTGTCTGAAAAATAACTCAAACCCTTACGTGCAGTTCAGTTTCTTTCTTTTTATACAAATTCATATATAAATATATATATATATATATATATATATATATATATATATATATATATATATATATATGTATATATATATATATATATATAATTGTGTGTGTTTGTGTGTTTATGTGTGTGTGTGTGTGATACGACTAATAACATCGTATCATTTCAAATAGGAAAACTTGAAGGGCTAAATTATATTATCTTTTTACTGCCACCAATGTATATATGAATTATGATCAGAACCTATATAATACAATATTGCAATAAGACTCTAATATATCAGAAAGCTGTAATTTTTAAACACAATGTTTCAATAATACAAAATAAATCTAAAATAAACATTTCTCTTTACTACAAATGATGCTTTAAAAAATTATATTATATAAATCACAAACGTTTGTTTTTCTATACTAGACAAATTGAATATTATTTTCACGTCATTTTTTGTTAGTCCGTCATTTTTCTTTTCGCGATTTAACTGTAAGGCGAGAAGTTAATACAGCTCCTGCTATGTTTACTGGTCTAAAAATAGCTCATATTTGAGAGTGGAACTTGTACAAAGCCATAATGGGGGTATGTGGGGGTGGAGGGGGGGGGGGGAGCCTGGGTCAATGTGGGAGCGGCGCCCGTGTTTAAAGAGGTGCTAGAGAATACACTCGACGTTTTCGTGGGAGTTTGTTGGTTAATGATGCGACATTTGTTGGTTATACTTGTATAATGCGACATTGTTGGTTATACTTGTGTAATGCTACATTTGTTGGTTATACTTGTGTAATGCGACATTTGTTGGTTATACTTTTTAATGCGAAATTTGTTGTTTATACTTGTGAAATGTGACATGTGTTGGTTATACTTGTTTAAGGCGACATTTGTTGGTTATACTTGTTTAATGCGACATCTGTTAGTTATACTTGTATAATATGACATTTGTTGATTATACTTGCACTAAACCCATGTTGTTGGCTAATAATGCGAATCGTTATCGAAAGACACCACACTCCATTGTAGTGTCCCGATACATAGCAAATTTGTTTGCCACCTTTTGAAGACTCAAGCCGCGACTTGTTTTCTTTACACCTTGCTTACTTCTAAAGACACATCAACCCTTGTCACCACCCATCGACACACCTTGTCACCGCCTAAAGACACACCTTGTCAACGCCTAAAGACACACCTTGTCAACGCCTAAAGACACACCTTGTCAACGCCTAAAGACACACCTTGTCACCGCCTAAAGACACACCTTGTCACCGCCTAAAGACACACCTTTCACCGCCTAAAGACACACCTTGTCACTGCCTAAAGACAAACACCACACCTTGTTACCCTCTAAAGACACACCTTGTCACCGCCTAAAGACACACCTTGTTACCGCCTAAAGACACACCTTGTTACCCTCTAAAGACACACCTTGTCAAAGCCTAAAGACACACCGTGTCACCGCCTAAAGACAAACACCACACCTTGTTACACTCTAAAGACACACCTTGTTACCCTCTAAAGACACACGTAGTCACCACCTAAAGACACACCCACTCCTGTCCTTGAAGCCATACCCGGCCAGAAATCAATGAACTTTAGCCGTCCCAGTTTGCACGAGTGAATTCGATGCCGTGAAGGTTCTCGAACAATCCTTAACGTCCGCGCCTGTCGTGAGCGCCCTCAGACCTTTATGATCAACACGTGAAATGCTCGCACATGCGTGTGTGAGCACTTCCTGAATTATTTACACTCATTAGAGGCACCCGGTGACCCAACGGCTGTTTCTTGATGTACGGGATCGCCAGAGAGGTGGATTGGTATACAAACATCTGTCATCAATACGTTCGCGTACCACCAATGAGTTTGGTGCTTTTTCAACCATCAACAATTCAATGTTCAAAGATCACAGAAGTTTTTTTTTCCTCACATTATCTGACAATGCACTCGCCCGAAAATAGGTGTGTCAGGTTGTTTGTAGTATTGAAATAATATGTTTAGTGTGTTGGGGCTATAACTATGTATAGGTTATTTAAGGATTCGGGTTAGAGTTTGGTTACGGTTTGTGTTAGGGTTTGCAATAAGGTTTGCGTTGGGGTTTGTGTTAGCCTTGACGTTACAAAAGTAACATTAATTGATAGTGTTTTGTTAGTAACCTTAACAATATTAATACCACATTTTATGAAAATATTTGAATAACGTAGCAATATCGGACACTGGTATGACATATACCTCTTATTGAACTATTTTTTTTTAAATACTGGATATTTGATGGAGCATTTCTTCTTCTGCTTAATCCTCTCGGCACTTAGGGGAGCATTAGGGCGAGATGACATTCCACCAACGATTGCATATTTTGGCCACTTATAAAAAAAATTCAGTCATAAAAATCCAACCTCCCTATGTCTCTTTCAATACGATTCTCTCCATACCATGTATGTACTCATCTTCCTCTCTCCCCGTGAGTTCCACTCCAACTTGTCTAGTGCTGTAATTAACTGTCTTTCTGCGTGTCTGCCCAATCTACACCCACTTCATTCCTTCTATGTCGTTCTCCACTGGTACCAAAATACCCGACATATTACAAAAGAAATTAATTTAAGGATTAACGGTATTTACCAGTCACTATTGTGTTGAGGAAAGAAATTATTACTCTACAATGTAAAGACAGTAAACACAAGACTACAGTTGGTATGTGGCTGGTGTATAAGACAACAAAAACGATGAAGTGTTGCAGGATAGGCGAGTACGATCTTATAATATGCGGTGTTGGTATGTAAGTGCCGCCTCAAGAGGGTTAACTTGGCCAGGGTGTAGCTTCGAATGGGTTAACTTATCCTGTGTGAGGAGTGTCAGGTTGTGTTAGCAGCAATGCTGGCTGCATGTAGGCTGTCTGGAATCTCACAACGGAATGTCGGCATCAGGACTGACATGGACGCGAGGAATGGCATCCTCACCAGAGATTGCCGTGTTATATTATGAAGTGGTTGTCGAATGTTAGAAGTCCCCGGCTCCACAGCTGCTGTTTGTGTGGAGATAATACCTTGATATTCCCGCATGTGTTGGTATAATTACCCCCAGCTGGTAGCAACACTGGTGTAGCCAGCGGTTCATAAGGGGGATTTTAAGCCCGGCCAGTGTACGGGATGTTTACTAGTCATTGTGCAGTGTAATGAGTTTTAGTGTTCGTCCTTTATGTCTACATAGGCGGGACTGAAAAGTTTAACACCTACATTGATTATTATAACGTTTACAGAAGAGGAGGTTTGGTGTTTGTTTAGTTCCAGCGTCCTATAATGGGATCTTCTAAAACAGGGGTGTTAGGTTACTGCCAGAGAACTATAGCTTGCTAACACTAAGCCTAAGACTTACCATAATTTAATTCTAATTAATGGCATAACATTAATCCTGATATTATAATATTATTAAAATAGAAACTAGTAGACAGTAATAACAAAACTTGCTGAAACCGCGCTGCAAAACTTAATTACATTTGCTAATTAGAACATATGCAATATTAGATGCCTCCTATTTCGAGAGTGAAGCAGTTGTCTTTCATCCATATTTACTTAATGACACATAATGTCCTTTCAAATATTGACCCTCCCCAAGTCAAAATGACAAATTCCCCGAAAAAGTGACCTCTTGGAAATGCACACACACACACATTCGAAAACACACTAAATTATTCACACACACGTAATATATATATATATATATATATATATATATATATATATATATATATATATATATATATATATATATATATATATAATATTTCTTACCATAACACGCAGCTAAAGAATGACAGTCTACGTCCAAAGGTTTCCCCAGTAGAGATATGGTAATTCTGGCTGGTATAATTTGTTCTGGAAATAATTTGATCAAACCCAAAACACAAAAACTGCACGTCTTAGAGCAGATGTATTCCTGCTTGGTGTATATTGTTGCCAGGGAAACCCTCTGGGACCGTGTTGTGTAGACCTGTGATTGGCATCGTGTTGACTCGGTATGACTAGTGCACCATTTGTTATGCCGTCTGACTAGTGCACCATTTGTTATGCCGTCTGACTAGTGCACAATTTGTTATACCGTCTGACTAGTGCACCATTTGTTATGCCGTCTGACTAGTGCACCATTTGTTATGCCGTCTGACTAGTGCACCATTTGTTATGCCGTCTGACTAGTGCACCATTTGTTATGCCGTCTGACTAGTGCACCATTTGTTATGCCGTCTGACTAGTGCACCATTTGTTATGCCGTCTGACTAGTGTACCAGTTTTTACGCCGTCTGACTAGTGCACCATTTGTTATGCCGTCTGACTAGTGCACCATTTGTTATGCCGTCTGACTACTGCACCGTCTGACTAGTGCACCATTTGTTATACCGTCTGACTAGTGCACCATTTGTTATGCCGTCTGACTAGTGCACCATTTGTTATGCCGTCTGACTAGTGCACCATTTGTTATGCCGTCTGACTAGTGCACCATTTGTTATGCCGTCTGACTGGTGCACCATTTGTTATGCCGTCTGACTAGTGCACCATTTGTTATGCCGTCTAACTAGTGCACCATTTGTTATGCCGTCTGACTAGTGCACCATTTGTTATGCCGTCTGACTAGTGCACCATTTGTTATGCCGTCTGACTAGTGCACCATTTGTTATGCCGTCTGACTAGTGCACCATTTGTTATGCCGTCTGACTAGTGCACCATTTGTTATGCCGTCTGACTAGTGCACCATTTGTTATGCCGTCTGACTAGTGCACCATTTGTTATGCCGTCTGACTAGTGCACCATTTGTTATGCCGTCTGACTAGTGCACCATTTGTTATGCCGTCTGACTAGTGCACCATTTGTTATGCCGTC